TAGATAGATAGATAGATAGATAGATAGATAGATAGATAGATAGATAGATAGATAGATAGATAGATAGATAGATAGATAGATAGATAGATAGATAGACTAAAATTCTACCACTCCCACTTCCCTTCCAAAGAAAACAAAACGCATTGTGGAGAGCCTGCTGGGAAAGTATGAGAGAGGTATAATGTTCTCTCTTGGAGAATGAACAGATCAGTAAATGGAGCGGCCCATAGAGACCCCATGAGCTAGGCTATGAAAGGGGACCCATAGACACGCAGACCCCCATCACCGACAGTCAGTTTGTGAGATATTGGCAGAGATTTGTTTCTGGCGGGGTCGCAGAAAGACGCAGTGGGCCTTGGAACGGAAGAAAGGCAAGAAAGAGACACTCGCACATGCACACGTACACAATCATACATTATAATATCATACTACATTACAAACATATAAATGTTTATACATGGATACATGTATATGCATATATATATATATGTAGAGAGATAGAGAGAGAGAGAGAGAGAGAGAGAGAGAGAGAGAGAGAGAGAGAGAGAGAGAGAGAGAGAGAGACCCACCGTGTTGCAAGGGGTTGCGATTATAGAGGCAAACAATCGCGCCAAGATCCTCAATCAGACTCGTTTATTGTTGTTTTTGGGGGGCGATGGAGTTGAAAAATATTCTATGTTAATCCGACACCATAGAATTACAAACTTCTATATTGTAGCATTTTGGGCTGTTTTGAGTTACTAAGGTCATGAGGTAAAAAACTAAAGGTTCTATCTGCCCTATCAAAATCGTAAGCTTATTCAGGGTCGTTATCAAGATATTCAAAGAATTGCATTCGCAAAAAACTTGACAGGTGAAACGCAAAAATTGTTTACGTCAAATTTCTCGAAACTGGATACTCCCCCCGGGGCAGTGCCACTGACTGAAGTGTCTTTAGGCCATTCCCAAAAGGGGGGAGGCATTTCTCGTTCAAGCACAGTAGAATTGTAAATGGGCTGATTCATGTCACGCTCATAACTGTGCCTGACCTACAACAGGGAACTGCAGCTTTTTCTTTCCTAATCCTTACTATTGTCATTTTCCTCTACTTCTTTTGTATGTTTGTCATTCTCTTGTGACCTACTATTTCCGGGGTGCCTTGATAGTTGAAGCAGACCTTGTGCTGTTGAAGCTAGAGAGGTGAGCATAGTAAGACTGATTCCCTGTAAAGACTTCTCTGTTGACATCCACCCCTTGGCGCTCAAATGACCTTATGCAGTTGCGAGCGTCGTAAAACTCTCTACTATAATAATAATAATAAAAACTGGATAATGAACAGATAGAAATTTGTAATTCTAAGAGAGCGAGTTGTCTACTCAGTGACGTAATCACTTCGTGTGCTCTGCCCAATTACTTCATCCACAGATGGTACATAACAAGATAGTTCACTCCTCTCTTTGAGCTAATTAATAAAGTGTCATCAAATTCCGGTGGCCCCTCTTCCTCCCTTCCCCCTCTCTCTCCCTCTCCCTCTCCCTCTCCCTCTCTCTCTCTCTCTCTCTCTCTCTCTCTCTCTCTCTCTCTCTCTCTCTCTTCGAAAAAGCGCAAACTTTGCGAACTTACTTATGTGAAAAACAATAAAATCGAACCTAACAAGTTGTGCTATTCCTATTCCTCTTCTGGAGAAACGAAAGAGAGCTTCAAAACAAAGACTGCGGCGCCATCTGAACCTATGGGCGGACTTCCGCGGACACTTTTTGGGCCGAGTGAACAATTTTGTTATGAACGATCTTTGCTTCATCCGATCGAGACTTAAGTATTTATTTAGGCTACCTGATCTATTTTCACCGACACGATTAGTATTATCTTTCCCCGAAGCTACTAACTCCATCACTTGAACATTTGTACGGACAGCAGCAGCTATTCTCAAAGGGCCTTGAGGGCTTATAACGTCAGACGTATGAATAAATATAATATTACGTGCGTGTGTGAGTATGTGTGAGTGTGTGTGTGTGTGTGTGTGTGTGTGTGTGTGTGTGTGTGTGAGAGAGA